CTACATACTGTCAGTCATCGCACAATGCACTTCCCAAGCCTCGAACACATACCCTGACTTGTCCCGCCCCGCACTTCTGCTCATCCACATCCTCAATCCTGATGTCCTCTTTGCCGTAGTATCTTGCTGCGCGCATGGTGAATGTAGAAGCCCGGTCTTGATCACCCCAGTTCGGTAGTCCCATAACTCAGATTCCTCTCGGTCAACGACCGTATTTACAAATGCGCTCTCAATAGCAGATGACATGACACGATCTGCGCCTCCGCTTTGCCAACTCTAAAAAGGAGCGACCTCGGTTCCGCTTCTCGGAACGTATGCGCACAGCCCCCAGGTGTACATGTGATCTAGAAGAGGGTACCCACTGTTGCCGCCGTGCCGCCCTACATATCTATGTATGTATGTGGTTCTGGACGAATGGCCAAGCCCGATTTGCGGGCATCGTGAGGCGACGCGGCTCGCACAAGAGGGCCGCGTCCGCTTGCACGCTTGGGTATCATCGGGAGCGGGGCTGGCATGGTCACGATATCAGGAGATATCTCCGTGAGTCCCGTATACCCGGCTGCCAGTGGTGCCATGCGAATGGGTTCGGTGGAGTTGGTGCGAGGCTAGGTTTGCGGGGGCGGGGAAATTGTGGAATGACTAACTTTGGTAACCCGGATGCTGGGCTCTTGCTTTGTTGATCCGACTTGGCTCTTGTGCTCCTTCCGTTCGTGAGAACATCAGTTTCAGACCTTTTGTAGGAACTCCAGGCAGCTCTGAATGCTCAGTATGCACATTGTCAGTTTCCTCGTATCCCGTCTGCAGAGCTTGCCGGATAGTGTAACTTGGCTACACCTTGAATGCGCAGTCGCTCGATCGCGCAGAGTGTCGCGCATGCATTCCCTGTCCTCATTCTACCGTACAGAAGCAACAACCTAGACAGATGATTGCAGACTACATGAGTATTGAAACAGGTCTCTACAAAGTTCCAAAGAGATATAGACATCTAGGTCGCTTACTTTTGTCATTCTTTCGAAACGGCATGGTACAAAGTTGTTGCCTATTGCAGGCCCGCATAGCCACCCGATGCTCAGCCTCACCAGCGTCCTTAAACATTTCAATCCGCATGTTTATGCAAACAAAAAACTTCTTAACTCATCATCACAAAATTCTGTTAGGCGAAAGATGCAACCGTTCACTTATATCCATGAGTCTGTCCTATACGCTTGGAACGACAGCGCCCGCCTTCGTCGCTGGGTAAAGCGCTTCACGTGCCCATGTTTGGGCTATCCTTACTGCAAACACTCCGCTGGGTTCCGCGACTGCACTGGGCGGAACCGGAAAAGAAAGCAAGAAGAGCGCGTCCGCATCATGAGCGAGGTAAAGCAGGCGCGGCGAGAGCGGGCCGTGGCAAACCGAAAGCGAAGTGTGTCTGTGGACGGGAAGCACACCAAGATGCCGTTTACGAGACGGAAGAAAACCGTGGAGCAAAGCCAGAGTGACTTCTTCGCAAAATTACCAACGGAATTGCGATTGAATATCTACGGCATGGTATTTCGCGATATTGAAAACATTACTGTGGATGCACATGATGGCGCACAGGATGATATGTTGAAATTCAGCGCCGACCCTGGACGCTCAACAGGCATTCTACGTACCTGCCGCAGAATGTAAGTACCCGCACACTCTAACCTCGGTACATGACCTAATCGTCTCGCCAGTTACCGCGAAGCAGTCGACTTGCTATACTCTGAGATCGACTTTACCTTCACAAGTTATAGACGTTTCATCCTCTTCACTCGCTCGATCCCGCAACCACGCTTAGCTAGCATCAAGCGCATCACCATCGGGCATATCTATCCGAGCTGGACTCCTTTGGTCACAACCGAAGAGGAGCGATACCGCAGTAACTACGAATACGACGACTTTTTCACCGCGATCAGGTTGTTGCCCAGACTAGGATTTCTCGACCTACAATTGCGCCTGGAAGATATTGAACTGTTGGACGAGATCGAGCAAAGGTGGGATAGGGTTGGCGTTGAAGTACAGTATATCATACGTGGGTCTCCGCAGGACTTAGAATGGTTACGGGAATGGGAGTACAAGAGGAAGAGGGACAGAATATCTTGGGCGAGGTGGAAGATCCATCATTACCAACACACCAGATTGTTTTGATGGCATCAAGATGCGTAGTTTCGCTGAAAGTGTCGAAAGAGGAGTTGAATATCCATAGTAATCGGCCTGTGATGAATAGGTCTGCGACCAGCGTTCAGAGTATCCATGGATGTGTTGACACCATACAGTATGCCTTGCGACGCCTGTAAAGACAGCCACACCAGCCAAATGGTCTTACCAGCAGTTAGACCAAGACTGCGCCAACATACGCTACCTTGCCGGCACATGGTTGCCTGACGAAGGCACCAATGGACAGGCCCCCACCAACTGCGCCTCCTTCGCAGGATCAAACAAGGCGGCCCCCAACACATATCTTCAGCCGGCATCGCCACATCTCAACATGCACAACATTTACACAACACGATGCCAATTTTTGGACTCATCAAAGATGCCATAATATACACATGGCACACCAACTCCACCCTGCGCTTCTGCTGCAAACTCGTCACTTGCCCTCTCTGTGGTCTGTGTTATTGGATCAGATCCATCGAACCCATAACCTGTGTTAAACGTCCCCCCGGCCGTCCATCTACAGCACAGCAAAGGCGATATGACGCCTTGGCTAAAATCGAATATCGGAGACGCGTGCGTGCTTTGGAGAAGAGAAAGCGCAGTGTTTCGGTTGACAGAACCCGGGGGGTATGGAGGAAGAATGCGGAATATCAATCGCAAAGTTTGTTCTTTACCAAGTTGCCTGCGGAGTTGAGACTGCAGATCTATGCGATTGTGCTTTCTGAGCAGGAGGAAGTGGGGTTGAGGTTTAATCGCGAGGAACTTTGGGATCTGTGGAGGATAAAGGCTGTGTCAGGCTGCAACACGGAGATGCTGAGAACTTGCAAGAAAATGTCTGTTTCTTCCTCGCTTTCGGGCAGTCTCGTTGAGCAGAAGACTTACAAAAAGTACAGGTACCGCGAGGCCATTCCGGTGCTCTACTCCAATAACACGTTCAAATTCGACAATAACAAGATTCTGTCTATTTTCACGTCGACAGTCCTTCCGCAACGCCTCGCTCGGATCCGAAATATCGTTATCGATGATACATTCTCTTCGTCTTGGTTCGGCGGCGTTGGCATTTTCGATCACTCCGAGGGCCTTTATGCGTCGCTTGGGGGTTTCGCAGATCTTAGAGAGGTGGTACTGAGGTACCGCCTACGTGAGAATGAGTACAGAATGACTCCCCACCTGAGGGACTTTGCTCTGCTTGAGAGACTGGAAAAAAAGGAGAGACCAAGAGGGTATGAGATGTTTTATGAGATATTGGATGTTCACCCTGGGCCGAAGATTGAAGGTATGTTGTTTGATCGGTGGGTTGTTGGCGAGAGAAAGAGTATACGCGGGGTGGACTCAAATGAAGGCGTGGAATGAAAGCTTTTGCAAGCATCAGGAAGGACGACGAAATAAAGACATGCTGGGAATATGTAATTAGCGAAGATGACCTTTCTCTTCTGCTCAGGCTCGATGGGTGTAAGTGACTCGAACACGGTGGTGAAATAGCCGGATCGCCAAACATGAGTCCAAAAGTCGCTGCCCGTGTGCTTCTTGCACCCAATGATTTAAGAAAGGACGACCGGCGTCCAGCGAGGCCGTGATACATCAGCCCCTTCATAGCTAAAACCCATGGATGACTTTGGGTTGCGCACCTAGGGTTTTCCGAAAGGTTTCCGCTGTGAAGTTTCGCAGGCGTCCTCTAGGGAGCGCTTGCTCTCACACTGCAAATCTTTTGGGTTCTGTATCCGAGGTTCTCTTCGCTGAGATGGTCAAGCGAAGCGGAGGGTCAGCTTTCGAGCTTAACGGCTATCCCACTGTTGGACGAATGAAATACCTCTCCAAGGCTTACTCCGTAGTGTGAAGAAACCAGCGGTCGCGCTAATCTGGGTGTGCTTAGGCTTTTGCCTATGGGCGGAGTTCCGGCAGCTATCGAAGCCACCACTGGCGCACATCCAGTCGGAAGCCAGGCAGATGACTTTTGAAACTCCTTTTGAACGACGCTTGGCTGGAACAACCTGTCGCTTCTGCCGAAATGCAAAGAAAGGCCAGTTGTGGCTGAAAAACAACGGGCGGCAAGATAGTCCCGAGCGCACCTGGGCAGATGGGATGCATGTGCTAGCCACGTTCGGCTAGGCTACATCTCGACCGGAGATCTGGCCACATCGAAGTTTGATTGAAGCTTGACAAGCGAGCAATGCATGTCAGAATGCACCACACACATCCCTCATCTATGCTAGACTCTGTTTTCGCTGGCTACTTAGGTGCGCCTTTCGCATCGATGCACCCGGCAGTTGCTGCGGAAGATTTTCAGGATGGTGCTCAGCTCGCTGCGTTCAGTGTCGGCGCTCCGGGGCAGCATCCATATGGCAATGCGAGACCGTCGCCTGCATACTCGCAACACACCTGCAGCTACACGCTCATCAGTTGTGCGTCCCGCTTTGCTATGGAGCGGCACGTCCCAGCGAACAGTGTAAGGGTCCATGGGCTCGATGGTCTAGACTTTAGACAGGGCAGTTGCATGGCCTACGCGGTCTAGATTCCCACCAGACGTCTGGCTTGCCACTCCTGGAGCCGTTTACTCCGGGACGGGAATCCACAATGAAATGTGGCTGGGATCTGTACTGGCGCAGCAGCCCGCAACGCCGTACCATAACATCTCTCTCTTGGGTCGTCACGCTATCGGCATTGTTATGGCGGTAGAGCTTGAGCAGTCTCACCTCTCTTTTCTCACGAATCCGACTGGCGATCCAGCCATTGACGCCGACTTGCAATATATTCGGGACTTGGACTGGGCCAAAACTGCCGTCGGACTCATCTCATCGTGGCCTCGCGAGCTGTTGTTGCTCATCCACATCGCCATGATCTCCCCTCAACCGCAGCTTTTCCTGCTTGGCTCCGATTCGACCGTTCTTTACAACACAGCATACGGCCGACTGTTGTACGACCATCATCCGCAGTACCAAGGACGACCTATAAGCCTAAACACAGCTTTGGTTCAACAACTGCCCTTGATCGACAAACTTGGCGAGTGCCTAAGGGCAAAGTCGGATCTTCATGGCGAGCAAAAAGTGCCCTTCTTTTTCTCCCGGAATGGCCGCCTCGAGGAAGTGTTCTTGTCCATCACCACAACGGGTCTACCGCCGTCCCTGGGCGGATCCCATGCCACAGCGTACAACGTCACCCGAGATATGCTGGAATTTCGTCGTGAGAATTCTTTGGACAAATTTCGCAGTTCCTGCGAGACTGCCATGGATCTGGATACGCTGTGGCCCTCTATCTTGAAAGGCATATCCAATGGAGACGGAGACATATCGTTTGCCGCGTTATACCGCGCAGAGACGATTGGAGAACATGAAAAAGAGACCGCTTCTTCTGAGGAGCAGGCTCCTTCACCGACCTTCGTTCTCTCTGGTACTGTTGGTTCCTTCCCGACCGCGCCTCCTCCAAGACTCGAGCCAATCATGGATCAAGGATGGGTTGACGCCTTCTACAGGAGTGTCAATACTCGTACACCGGTACTTCTCCAGGCTGAGGACGGTACACTCCCCCAGGAAATGTGTGAGGCTTCTACGAGTCGATGTGTGCCACCAGGCTGTCATCTTGCCAAGTGTTTCGAACCGGACTGCCAATGTTCATGCTGCCTTAATCGTTGGTCTGGCACCTCGTACGCCTTACAATCGCGCCTATCAAGCATGGATCAAGACGCTCCATCGTGACTTCTCCCACGAGGTGATTTCGATGGCAAACGCTGAAGCTAGGAGCCGTACTGAGAAAATCCGCAAAGAACGCATTGCTAGAGACGAGGATGTTTCCACCAAGGAAGAAGCTCTGAAACAACAAGAGGTTGCGCGCGCAGCAGCTCTGGAGCAGCTTCATCTCAGCGAATCGCGGCTGCAGCAAGCCGTAGAAGCCAAAAGGCAACAAGAGAAGTGAGTCTTCACGTACACGTTGTTTGCTTTAGTTTACTAACAGGGTGAAGCTTCGTTGATATGGTGAGCCATGAAGTACGCTTTGGGAGCCATACAGGTTGTTGCATAGCCTAACATACCGTAGATTCGGAACCCCCTTAGTGCTGTCATGCATTGCGCGGATTCAATAGCTCACTCGCTCTCCGAAGTGAAGCTTCTCCTTAACCAGTGCGAGAACCGAGGTACACCCGATAACGAAAGCTCCCGCACCGCCGACGACTTACGCAATCTCAACAGCAGCATGTGCGATGCTGTCGACACGATCATGGCATGCACTATGCATCAGAAACGCATCATAGACGATATTCTTTCGCTGTCCAAACTGGACTCGAATTTGCTTGAGATCTGTCCAACGGTGTTCCAAGTCAAGAGCTTCTTGGGTCAGGTCGAGAATACTTTCAAGACCGAGGCTGAGCAAGCTGGTGTCCAGCTTGTAGCTGTAGCCGATCCTTCATTGACCGAACTCGGCGTTGACTGGATCGATGCTGATCCGGGCAGAGTGACACAGGTGTTGTTCAACATGGTCGCCAATGCGATCAAATTCACCAAAGATAAATCCGACGAAAGAGCTGTTACCGTTCGTATTGGAGTAGCGTCATGGCCACCTACTGCTATCTTCGACGGTCTCACCAAAGCAGTGCAAAAGACCGGATCAGTAGACCAATCGGAACCAGAGGAAGGGTCCATCTTTTTGTGGTTCAAAGTTGAAGATACAGGGTGCGGAATGGATGAATCGACCAAAGCGCGCGTCTTCAGCCAGTTTACTCAGAACATGCCAAAGACATACAGTAAATACGGTGGTTCCGGACTGGGTTTATCTATCAGCAAGAAATTGGTGGCCTTGATGGGTGGCGAGATTGGCTTCCAGTCTCAGCAACATATCGGATCTACGTTTGCTTTCTACACTAAAGCATCGAGGGCTCTACCACCGAGGCCGTCTCTATCCACCAGGAGCTCCGAAAAGTCGATCACGTCCGAAGGGTCGACCTCGTCGCTACCCCACGCTATAAGCACCGCCGCGGATGCACCGCCAGCAGTCCAGTCCAGTATTCTGCTTGTGGAGGACAACATGGTCAACCAGCGGGTGCTCAAGAAACAACTACAGCTCCAGGGGTATATCGTTTACACAGCCGATAACGGACAGGAAGCTTTCGACTTCATTCAGACCACACAACACTGGAAAGGCTCGACTTCATCGCAACCACGTGTCAACGAACCACGTATCGACGTCATCCTCATGGATATTGAGATGCCTATTGTCGATGGGCTTGAGTGCGCAAGTATGATTCGCGCCGCGCAGGAAGACGGGTCAATCGATAAGCACCTTCATATCATCGCTGTCACCGCGAATGCAAGACCCGAGCAACTGAAGCGCGCGAGAGAGACTGGAATGGATGACGCGGTTCCGAAGCCGTTCCGAGTGAGAGAACTTGCAGCTGTTATCGAGCGATTGAGAGATGAGTGATCCAATACCAGAGGATGCTTCACCGTGAAGCGGTGATCAGCGCGCCTTCCCGTTTCATCTCGTCTGGCTCTCACTTCACCAGGGTCCAAATGCTTGGCGTGACGAATACGGTGCAACCTCGAATCGTCGCTTTCTTCGCGTCGAGACAGTGTAGCCACCTAAGCACAATTCAAGGTAGGTTGAAGAACAGCTAGGCCTGCGCTCATACTGACCCACAACAGATGAGCTATAATCTGGACGCACTCTTCCACGACCCCGATGACTTGCGTCCCGGGGTATTGTCGCTTAGTGTGTCAGTGTCCAAAGCGTCTACTATAGAGTCCGCCGGAGGCCTCTGGCACGAGCATGTAGTCGATGAAGAACAGGCAGCGAAACACGGTGAAGAGGCCCGTCTGAGAACTACCATCGCAACCTTGGGTCAGCAATGCGAATACTGGAGAGGGCAGGCTGAGGAACGAGGCAAGACCATCGAGGATCTAGATCGAAAGAGTACCAGAACCGCTGCGGTATCTGATCTTCCGACTGACACCGTTCGCCGTCTCAACCGCCTCGAAAGCGAGGTCACACGTCTGCGATCAGAGAACACGCAGCTGAAGGACACACTCAAGACCATCGAGTACGAAAATGTCAATCTGGGCAATCAAAACGATGGAAAGACGCGGAAGCTGAAGGGTGCCAACAAGAAGGTCAAGAATGCTAAAGACATGGCAGGGAAGGAGGAAGAGAAAGCCAAAGATGCCCAAGGTGACAAGCAACGCCACCTCGCATCCGAACGCAAGATGAAGAAGGAACGCGGTGCTGCTTTGGCTGCACTACAGCAACAGAGGAAGCTCAACGGTGACCTGCGCGCGGAGCTTGAGGTCGAGCAGTCGGGTGCACCTCACATGCGCGATGTTGCTGCGGACCCGAACAACACCACTGCCATTATCCCAATTCAGTTCGAAATCCGTCGCACAGATGTACAACCTATGATGAGAGTCCTTCAGTGGCACCAGATGAATCTCACCGAAAGGTTCAAAGCGTGGTACAAGGACTGGAAGAAGGCATCGACCGGCGAGGTACGCAAAGTCGTCGGCTCGGAGGGCGTGGACGATGAGAAGAAGAAGCTTGAAAAGCTGTATGGAGATATGGTTGAGATGCCTGATGGTTACATGGAGACTGCTGCTGAGCACGATGGGTGGCGATCGAAGCGCGGAGTCCAGGCGGTTTGTCGTCATGCTGAAGCGCGACACAACGGAGAGATGTAGATGTTGGGGATTGTGGCTTCATACCTCTCCGCTCCATCCTGATACTTAGCATCGAAGAGCACGCCACCCTATAGTGAATACCAGAGACTACTTAGGAATCTACATCGCCGTCAGACCCGCTAAACTCTTGTTCCTGTACTAATGGAGACTGCGATACTTCTGTTTGATTGCTGCACCACGTTATCACTCTTCCTCTTCCTCCCCCGAACCAACGAATGATGCGGCACGGTGCCGAGGATTGGCTGCATCGATGGCAATCTCATAGGCCCAGGCGCTGAGGTTTCTGTTCCAACGTAGTCAGCAAAGGACGCTTTCAAACATGCCGGGTAGGAGTGGTTGCGAATCCCAAAAATTGTTGTAACGTGAAAGTCGTGTGTTAGCTAAGCACCGAAGATGATCCCTAGCATCCTCGACCGGCGGCAGGTCTGACGCACGACGCACGACCCTCCGACCCACATCACTCCGCCAAACAACACCGCCAGGGTTCAATAGCGACCATGTCCAACATCCTGCCCCTACACCACTCGTACTACCCCTCGCGCCAGTCGTCCCTCTCTCGATCCGTAGACACTGCGCAAAAGCCATCGACATCCTCCTCTGCAGCCACGATCCGTCCGCAACCCGGCACACAATCGCAACCACAAGGGCAGCACATCGCAATGAGCGGCACCCCAAGTCAAGGGCCTGGGCTGCGGTACCCTTCGAACAAAAAGAGCATATACGACAGGAATCTGAACCGGAGTAAGAATGCGGAGCTTAGTAGGGCGGCGTTCGCGTACCTCTTCATTGAAATGATTGCGTATGCGCAGAAGGGCGCGAAGGATGTGGGGGACTTGGAGCAGAGGTATGCTAGATACATGCGGTCGCCATACTTCACATGTGCACTACGAAGTTCCGCATTCGACTTGCACAGGCGTGTTCTGACATCTATCTAGACTGAATACACAAGGCTACCCCATTGGCCTCCGCTTACTCGACCTTCTCCTCTCCCGAACCGCCAACCCCCTCGCGAGCATCCGACCCACACGTATCCTGCCTCTCCTCCAGTTCATCGCGCAACAGCTATACCGATACCTATTCGGCCGACCTGCCGACGCATTAGAAAAGTCTGGTACCGACCCAGGACAGTACATGCTCTTCGACAACGACCCGATGGTCAACCAATACATAAGTCTGCCCAAAGAACTGTCGAGTTTGAACTGCGCGGCCTTTGTTGCGGGCATAATTGAGGGTGTTTGCGATGGTGCGGGGTTTCCGACCGAAGGCGTGACAGCGCATAGTGTGGGCGACGAAGAAGGCAAGGGTCTGTGGCCTGGAAAGACGGTCTTTTTGATCAAGTTTAAGCCTGAGGTGTTGGAGAGGGAGGAGATACTGGGCAGGGGTGGGGGCTGAGCTTTGAGGGGTTGTTCAATTCTTGAAAAGCAGCTGGGTTCAACTGCTCATGATGGCATAGCGAGGCGTTGTGGACTTTTTGGAATTCAAGGTTGCTATCAGCATGTACATCATTGTCGAATCAACCTCCGCGAGACCATCCATCAGTTCAGGACAGGCCCTCCCATCTGTATGACTGATTACTCCGCTAAAAGGTTCCGTATACGCATTGCGCCAGCATTTATAGCCTCTCCCGCGCAGGACTGCTATCACCAACTACCAGATGCGGCAAGCGCGCCGACACGTGATCGTGAAGCTGATGACAAATGCTGATTGGCCAGACCATTCATGGTATGGCGCATCTGTTGGAAAGAACATTCCACAAGGTTGCGCCATCGCAGTCGAACAAATACAAAAGTGCAGCCTGGATCTTACGATAGCTTAAATAAACTACAGCCGCCTTTCAACAGCCCTTCAACAAGACACAACACTCAAATCACTCGACACACAACCTCAGCACGCCGCCTTGACAGACATTTCAACATCAACCATGCCAACAGAGATCTCAGCACCCCTACACTTCCGCACCCTTCTAAATGGCCATACCTATCTAATCGCCGACTTCTACGCAACATGGTGTCCACCTTGCAAGCAAATCGCGCCCATCTACAATCAACTCTCCACCACGCACGCCTCACCAGGGAAATTCGCATTCGTAAAAGTCAACGTGGATGAGCAGAGGGAGATCGCGGGGCAATATGGTGTCACAGCTATGCCGACGTTCATGGTCTTCAAGGATGGAAAGAAGATTGAGGAGATCAGGGGCGCAGATGTGAGGGCGCTGAAAGCTGCGGTGGAGAGGGTTGCTGGTGAGCTGGGGAAGGTTAAGGAGGAGAAGGTTGAAGCGAAGAAGCCCGGGGTCAAGCCGGAGGTCAAAAAGAACAGCAAGAAAGAGGAGGATGAGAAGACCGTTAGTGGAAGTTATGGGATGACTGGAGGGAACAACTGGAAGATGTCGTTGCATTAGATGTGGAAGGTTTGGGAGGTGATAGCCACATGCAGGTTTGGAGGACGATGGACTTGTGATACCCAGGAATTGAATGCATATTGTAGTAAACAATATTCATCAACAGCTATATGTACGATTAAGACCGTGATTAGTATACGTGATCACTATCCAGTGTACGTCATCCTGTCGCGTTGGTGTTGGATTTGTAAAGTTGAGACGCGTAAGGACACCTTTCAGACTAGCGATCGCCACCGCGGGACCCTGATAGCCGCTGTGCTGCTCTAGCTCCCCACCAGATTTCCCACCGCTCTTCAACACACATTTGGAGCTTCAACTCATCTTTGAGCTTCACACACCTTCTAGATGCTTTTCCGCAATTTAATACCCGCAGCCATTGCGCTGCTGCCCGCAATTGCCTCGGCATCGGCCGTCATCGACCTCACACCCTCCAACTTCGACGATGTCGTTCTTAAGTCCGGCAAGCCCGCCCTCGTAGAGTTCTTCGCTCCATGGTGCGGCCACTGCAAGAACCTCGCCCCCGTCTACGATGAGCTCGCTGGCGTCTTCCAGCACGCTGGAGACAAGGTCAGCGTCGCAAAGGTCGATGCCGATGCCCATAAGTCGCTGGGCAAGCGTTTCGGTGTCTCAGGTTTCCCTACCCTCAAGTGGTTCGACGGAAAGAGCGACAAGCCTACGGATTACAGCGGTGGACGTGACCTCGAGAGCTTGAGCAAGTTCATCACAGAGAAGAGCTCGGTCAAGCCTAAGGTCAAGGGCAAGCTGCCTAGCCAGGTCGTCTACTTGGACGACAAGACCTTCAAGGCAAAGGTTGGAAAGGATCAGGATGTACTTGTTGCCTTCACTGCCCCATGGTGCGGACGTATGTCTTTCTTGCCTCCTCTCCATCAACTTGTCATAACTAACATCTTCACAGACTGCAAGACCCTCGCCCCCGTCTGGGAGACCCTCGCCAACGACTTCGTTACCGAGCCCGGTGTCTTGATCGCCAAGGTCGACGCTGAAGCTGAGAACTCCAAGGCCCTCGCACAGGAGCAAGGCGTGTCATCCTACCCGACCATCAAATACTTCCCCAAGGGCTCCACCGAGCCTCTCCCCTACAATGGCGCCCGCGCCGAGAAGGACTTCATCGACTTCATCAACGCAAACGCCGGTACCCACCGTGCTGTAGGTGGTGGTCTCGATGCCACTGGTGGCACCATTGAGGCCTTCAACACCCTCATTGAGAAGTTCCAGGGCTCATGGGCCGGCGGTGCTGAGGAGGCCAAGACCCTCGCCGGTACTCTGCAGGACAAGTACGCCGAATACTACGTCAAGGTCTTTAACAAGATCGGTGCCAACCAGGAGTACGCTGCGAAGGAGCTCAAGCGTCTGCAGGGACTCATTGCCAAGGGCAACCTGGCACCCGAGAAGATGGATGACTTGATGAGCAGGAGCAACATTCTGAGGAAGTTCATGGGTGATGCTGAGGAAGAGAAGTCGGAGTTGTAGACGACCCGTGCGTGAAGTAAGATTCCGCAATGAGGCATACCATCAACACTATTAAGATGACAAGATGAGCTGGGGGCGCAAAGAGGCCTGGCGCAGGAGTGACAGGCATACGTGATCATGACAATGAGAAAGAGGAACAAGTAGTAGAGAACCAAAATTCAATACCCAGATTGCATACGATCTATGTAATTTAACACCAAACGCCAATGACTGAGACGTGCGCGATGTACACCGCCTGCTTTTGACCAAACATGATGCTTTCCCTGTAAATTTACTTGCCAGAACCTGAGCCCTTCGTACCATCTCCAGCCTGGATAGTTGCTTCGAGATTATCTAGCCGCCGTGACATGTCATCCACTACGCATTGTCAGCATCTGAGCTACCCGCTAGGCATGCTTGTACCCACTTTTGGCAAGCAGCTCGCTGCTGACTGTGGTGAACTTGGTGTTGAGTTGATTCAGGAGATCGTCCACAACTGCTGTGAGCTCTCCAGAACTCTCGGCATCTTTTGAGACGGCGGACTATGCGCGTGTTAGGTAGAGCGGGGCATCGTGAGTGCAGCAAGCACGTACCGCAGTGTCGCTTTGCGCGCGGTCTGCTAGTGGTTGTGGTGTTGCCATGTTTGAATGTGTTTGTGAGGAGAGTAGAGAACGAGACGAGTGGTCTGCGGATTCAGGACAGTTTCAGCACCTCATAAGGCGATTTTGAAGCTGTCTGCTACAATACGACAGGAGAGATGCGCATACGATGGATATGTAAGGTCGCGGAGCACGTGGTCTTCGCCGCGGCTTCCTGCCCGTTTCGTAGGCGGTCAAGCTAGCGTGCGCGCTAAAATGTTTCTGCGCCCAGAGTTCGAAGTTCACGAATTATTTTCTGGGAAGCTTTGACGTCTTGTCTTTTGCGACATCCGATACTCCACACCCTTCAGAATCCCAATAAACCTCAGTCGACATGGCGAAGAAAGGCGTCCTCAAGTCGGCGCTCGACAACTACCAAGGCCGCGACATCAAGCGCGAGAAGCAGAAGAAGTACGTCAAACAGGCGCTGAAGCGCAAGGAAAAGCGCGAGGCCAGGAAGGCCGCGGAGGAGGGCGAGAAGGATACTGAGGAAGGTGGCGTGCCTGTGCCGCTGGATGAGGTAGAGGTGAAGGTCAATGGCAAGACAAAGAAGTCGAAGAAGGACAAGAAGGCCGACGCAAAGGCTGCGCCAGCAGTCAAGGAGCCCGAGTGGGAGACCGAGGGCGAGGATGACGACGACGACGACGCAAGTGACGATGAAGACGCGCCCAATGGACTTCAAGTAGACCTTGATCACCTCAACGACACCGATAGCGACATCAGCTCAGACGAGGAGGAGATACAGGCTGATGAGGCTGCAGAGGAGGATGAAGACGCCGAAGATGACGAGGATGAGGATGAGGACGAGGATGACATTGCGCTATCCGATCTGGACTCTGTCGCTTCAGAGGACAAGGGTGACATTATCCCGCACCAGCGCCTTACCATCAACAACACCGCCGCTCTCACCGCAGCGTTGAATCGCATCCAACTTCCTTACTCGAAACTCGCATTCTCGGAATACCAGTCCGTTACCACCGACGAACCTGTCGAGATCGCCGACGTCGAGGACGACCTCAACCGTGAGCTCGCCTTCTACAAGCAATGCCTGTCCTCGGTCAAGGACGCGCGGAAGAAGCTGAAGAAGGAGGGCGTGTCGTTCTCTCGACCGGCCGACTACTTTGCGGAGATGGTCAAGAGCGACGAGCACATGGGCAAGATCAAACAGAAGCTGATTGATGCCGCGGCAGGCAAGAAGGCCGCTGCTGAGGCACGCAAGCAGAGAGATTTGAAGAAGTTCGGAAAGCAGGTTCAGGTCGCGAAGCTGCAGGAGCGCGCCAAGGAGAAGAAGGACACCATCGAGAAGATCCAGACTCTCAAGAGGAGTACGTATCACCTATACCCGAAGACTTGACTGGCAGTATACTGACAAACATGCAGAGCGACAAGGAGCCGACATCACAGCCACCCACGAGGAAGACCTCTTCGACGTCGCCGCCACCGCCGATGACGACAAGTCCGACCGCCGCGGTCGTGGTGGTGCTGGCGGCAAGGACTTCAACAAGCGCCAGAAGAAGGACTCGAAGTACGGCTTCGGTGGTAAGAAGCGTCACGCGAAGAGTAACACCGCCGAATCCAGCGCAGACGGGAGCGGCTTCTCGGCTCGCAGGATGAAGGGCAAGCCCAGCGGCGGTGCAAGCAAACGACCTGGCAAGGATAAGAGGGCGAAGAGACACTAGGTGGTGCAGTCATATGGAAGGCTGAGTGACAGTCACATGTCACGTTCTGCATGCGTATGGCGCTCTGGCGTTCAGGGACTGAGTCTAAAAGCGCACTATGTATTCTAAGAGGCGGAATGTCTTACTTTGCTAGGAGATACCAATGCACAATTGAACGTCTGAAGTTACTTTGAACTGCCGCTGATATATCGTTCCTCGATCTCGGAAGAGAGAGTTGGCGCCTACATACCGCCTTGTCCGGGCGATATCGCACGCCATAAACCCCCGTAGCAGTATACAGCACTGTTTGTAACGGTCTGTCGGCGCCCCATATCGGAGCCCGATAGCTCCAGGCGCCAGTCCCGCCTTCACCGCGATACCGCAAACCACAAGCGACGACGTCATCTAACAAACGCTCGCAGGCTATAACGCCCGTGCTTGCTCTTCACGCATACATTGCTCATCCCTCTCACCTTCATAAACTTCTCAAGTACCTACCTCGACCACATTGCCTTAGTAACGACATCAAAATACTCGACGACATCACAAGTCCTTGACTATCCCTACAACTCACCATGTCCAACGAAATCTACTTCGAAGGCGACGATGAAGTCCAACCCTTCAATAAACTCACCCCAATCCCCACTCCCAAAGTCGACAAGCCAGTCGATGAGCTCGCCTTCATCGACGTCGAACCCAACACAATCTGGTACTTGAGCATCATCCGACCACACACCGATTCCCACGAACTCATCGGCCCTGCGAAGGCATTCCGCCACCTCCTCCCCCAAATCGAAGACGTCGTCAGCAACTCGCCCAACGCGATCGACAAGCTTGCCCTCATAAAAGAGAAGCCAAACGACGACTTCCTATTTGAGGACGACGAAGATGAAGAGAAAGAGGTTGATGAAGAGTTCTTGGAAAAAGGCTTCAACACGTTCATTGTGGAGGGCCAACGCGGCTCCTACACTATACTGAAGATACATCGCGAAATCAACAAGGACGTCTTCGATATCCTGCCCGCACCCGTCTACACTATCATCTCCGCCGGCCCTCTTGCCCACGCCGAACGCCCGGCTGCCACCTCCTTGTCCTCGAAGTTCACGGCTTCCAAGCCAAAAGGATACGCGGCTACAACCAAGCTTCACGCTTCCTACGTCGATCGTGCTGACGCGAAGGAAGACGCTGAACATATCTTCACCGTCCTGCTCCTCGATACCGAGGACGTGAAGCAGACAAAGAGATGGGAGAAGGGGACTAAAGGAGGGGGTATCTTGATTGGTATGAATGCGAGCAGTATGTGGGAAGTCAATGTTCTTTACATGGATGATCCGATTGGCAGGGCGCAGGAAGAGGCTGACAGGGAGCATGACGGTTTCGTTTTATGAGGAGATAAGGGGGTGGGGAGGTATTCGATGGGTTGGCGGTGTTTAGACGGTTGGGTGATGGGGATATGAGCTCCTCCCCGGTCTTGTATGAAGCTAAAGTCGGGAAGCTTTGGGTGTCTTGGAGAGAGACGGGACTACCCATGGCGTCCAGGATTCTGGCTTCTCATTCACACTTTCTACGGGCTTTGCTGTCGTCTCTTGTATGCTGAGACTCTCTATTGCTTTTGTGACGACGTGTTCGCAGCGGAGGAAGCGGCCGTCTGGCCCTCGTGGGTAGCGTAGGCATACATGAATATTGGGAGGCGCTTGTGAAAAGTCGTGTCTTTTGCTGTTTTTGCGTACGAGAGCGAGGTGCGCGTCGAGTTGCTGGCGAGCTAGTCGTCTTTTCTGGATGCGGTTCTGCTGCTTTACGTTGAGTTTGTTGAGTGGTGCTTCGACCGGTTGCTCGTTGGTTGCTGACATGTTGATCGATGCTTGGGGTACTGTCTCGGGCGTCCTTACGATGACGGCCCGCCAATTATTGTACGGGTGGGAAAAGAAGAGTAGTTGGATGTTTCACTGTCAAGAACGATGGTTTCATGGCTTTTCCACCTCTCAAGCTTGCAAAAAGCGTTTGTCGTGCATTGCGGATCAAAGACATGCAGGGAAACAATGCCACATGATTTGTTAGTGATGACGTATGACGGTCATGCGATGCGGGGACGTCTTGCAACGTCGTGAACACACGACCACCACCACAACACCATCTCATCGCAACGCGTCGAATGCTGAACAACAACGAGAGGCTCACAGCAACACATCCAGCATGAGGAATGTATTGTCGAATTAGGCTCACACGCTAGGCCCAACGGTGTCGGTACAAAATCGGGTTTGACTCAACGGCCGACAAGGAACCGCACATCACGAGTCGAGAACTTTTTTGACCTCCCTCCAGAACTCCCGAGCCCAGGGGACAGACGCCAAGGAGACTAAGAAATTATCACGCCGCACCGCTACTGCACTTCAGTGGACCTCCCTCGTCTTTGGTTTAGTTGCGGAAGCATGCCTCTGCTGCATCGGATTGTGGAGCGAAATCCCATCGGACCTAATCCGGTATACTATGCAGAGCCCAACGCTCTCGGTAGTTCGAGCCGCCGACCGACGACGAGACAACTGCTGTTATGCGCCAATACAAGCCTATGCACGATGTTATTGCCAACCTCTTGAGGCGCCTTCCTTCGTCGTTTGCAGGCTTCCCCACCATGGCGTCAAGGAAACAACAGGATTGAACATATGCGGTCACACTCGGTAGCATTCCGCAACAACACCAACGTTTGAAACAAGCCACAGGCGGAAACAGAAACACGCTACAGCTTGTCTCTCCACAAGAGATTGCAGTGTGGATACATCGGAAAAGGGTCGTTCGTGATAGGCCTTCGGCTAAAGTGCAGGTTGAAGTGAACGACTACTGACTCAGGAGTGCTCCATCTCGCGAATCCACCAGCCTGGATGCACGCCTTCATCGTGTAAATTGAGTCTTAACAGCTCAAATAAGCGCAACAACAGGCTCAATTGAAGGCGGCCGATATATATAATGGTGTAGACCGTTACCATCCGTGAGTCTTGCCTTGGAATCGCTCTTGACAATCACACAAACTTCGGTAGCCGCTCTACCTCCGAGACCCGTATGCAGTCTCTATCTTTGGCACAGTGGGTACGAGCACAGCGAGCGCTAGATGGTAGGTAGTAGCTCACCCGAACTCAGACGTGAGTGGGCTTGCAGTCTGGTTGTGTCTGGATCCCGATCATCACGTCCTTGAGCATGTGCGATCCCGCCATGCCCCCCTTTCCGTCATTACTCGTTTCACGTTGAAGAGGCGGAGAAATAGTCTTGCTGTGTTTTCATGCGCTGAGATATTGGAAGTGGAAAGAGACATCACAACACTGATGACAACAGCATTCTACGAATCTTTCACGAGTTTCAATTCACTATTGACTGTACATTGGAGTCTGCTCACATGTTCCTGTACTTCTATGCATAGTCTGCACCGGCAGCAAAGTTCCGTCGAGCATGGTACCTGCACCTCACCAACTGATGAGACCTCCGACCGCCAAGTCTCCTACTGCCAAGATAATGGTTTGAAACAGGCACCCGTATGGTGACAGGCCCACCACCGCGGTTCCCAGGATCGAAAAAGCGGGCGCTACGGGGGTCAATACCACAATGACAGCTCTCATCCCTTCGTATGGTCATCTCGCTTCGCCACAGCTGTACGGGATAGCGGAAATACGGCCACAGCCAAGAGATCTCGGCCTCATGCGTCGATGGGAGGAAACACCTGAGGCATTGTTTCATGGTGCAAACCAACGTCGGCGAAGAGGGGTTTGCAAGGGATGGGTGGAAAGACCAGCTCTGGTCACTAGAAACGGTTAGCGACGTTGACCACAGCGCTCAGATAGGAACGCATGCTCAGATACATAAGAAGCAAATCACCACCACGACAGAGAGCTCATCAGCACACCTTTGCACACTGTCTTTCGCTTCTCTTCAGCTTTTCGCTACTACATTCGTTTCTACAGGCTAGTCCTACCATACAATCGTTTTTCATCTTCCAACCCACTACCAACCACCAAACCAACCACCACTACCCATCTCAAACATGAAGCTTTCCATCATTGCCGCAGCTGCCATTGCGCAGATCGCCTCTGCCCACTACACCTTCGATGTCCTCGTCACCGACGGCCAGGAGTCCAAGGGCTACGAGTTCATCCGCGAGAACACTCGTGCGGAGAAGTTCAACCCCACAAAGTGGAAGAACCCCCTCGACAACATGACCCCCGATATGGACGACTTCCGCTGCAACAAGGGCTCGTTCGCTAGCGCTGGCAAGACCGGCGTCAAGGAGGTCGCAGCCGGCACCAAGATGGCCATGAAGCTTGCCTACGGCGCTACCATGAAGCACCCCGGTCCCGCGTTCGTCTACATGTCCAAGGCGCCCAGCTCCGTCAAGGAGTACGAGGGTGACGGCGAGTGGTTCAAGATCTTCGAGTCTGGCCTTTGCCACCCCGACAAGGACATTCTCGGTGATGCTTGGTGCACCTGGGACAGCAACAAGATTGAGTTCACTGTCCCGGCTGAGGTGCCAGAGGGCGAGTACTTGATCCGCTCTGAGCACGTTGGTCTTCACGGTGCGCACGATGGCCAGGCTGAGTTCTACTACGCGTAAGTTCTTCTCTTAACTACTTCTTCGACAACATCAGCTAACACATGATAGTTGTGCTCAAGTCAAGGTCACCGGCGGCGGCAGCGGCACCCCCGGCCCCACCGTCAAGTTCCCCGGCGCCTACAAGAAGGACGACCCAGAGTTCAACTTCAGCATCTGGGGTGGATACAAGGACTACACCTTCCCAGCCCCCGCTGTCTGGGATGCCAGCACCAGCGGCGGCGCTCAGTCTCCTGCCCAGACCCCCACTGAGGAGCCTGCTGAGGAGACTTCGCCTGCTGCTTCCCCTGTGCCGTCTTCCGAGGAGCCTGCTGCTAGCAGCGAGGCTGTTGCGCACAACTCTGAGAACTGCAAGGGTGGAAAGGCTAAGCGTGGTCGCCGTGCTTTCCGCGAGGCTCTTCTTCGCAAGGCGTAAAAGCCGAGAGTTCTGAGTCTGGGAGCATACGCGTTGGATGAGATGGAGGATCGAGACGACGAGAGGTCAGAATCTTTACTCTGGCCGACTTTCTATATATATACTTTTGGATAGGCGCAGCCGTGCTGCGCTTTCTTGTAAATGTTGCTGAATGAAGAATACAATCAGTATTGCCAAAGCAGACTATGTTCTCGATATCTTGTTGTGATATCCTTTGTTTACCACTTCCTGGGAGAGATAGAAGCCCTCATCAAGGGTAGCATGCCTGCAGTTATTCCCTCACATTTTGATCACAGGTTTACTTTGAACACCAGCTTTCAGGCTTAACGTGGTTATATGCACGTAGATTCAGAGTTCAAGAGTGTGAGTATGGAACTCTCATCTGGACGACTTGTATTGACATTCTTGTCCAGGCACCCCAACAAAACGGAGCCAGCCCTTCTCCATTAGATGAGGTATATCTCCTCTGGATGCCTCATCTTTTCGCAAATAGCATTCAGAATGAGTCGTTGTTGTAAACATCCTCGTAGACGTGCCACCATCTCCATTGTCAAGACGTGAATCCATAGTATGCTATAGTTCTGCTCAAGCGTGAACTTTGAATCAATCTTGAGTTCTTCCAAGAGAACCGAAGCAGTGCACATGATATTGGCTATTGTCCAATCAACCTTCAAGAAAGATCCCACCTTTTTTGCACCAATCCTTACAGTATCAGGCGCGAGAAGGTGCAGTAGATCAATTCCCGAGAAAGCAGAAGATCGACTAGTCAACCTTTTGTTTACCCTGTCTTCGAGATCTGACATGGCATGTTGTAGAGGTGCGTAATCCTTGCAAGAATGTCGGTGATCTCTCACGACACTTCTGAGGTGGGTCCACAGCTCTTCTGGCGAAGACGCCGTTTCCAATTTGGCCGCATGAGCCTGCTGGATACGCCTAGTGAGACTTTCATCATACACTTCTGATACATAATAAGGCCATTGGGTTGAATCGGGGTAATCTCGCGGATCGGAATTCAACTCCAGGGACTCTGCGATAAATTCCCTAGCATCTTCTGAAATCCCTATCATCCCTGCTATTGTGGGATATCGGTAGTCCTCTCCAGTATTTATTTTGAACGGTAAGGTGAGTACTTCGCAGGCAGCTGATGCGCGAGGCAAACATTTTGACCAGCGTTCGTTCATCTTTGATCCTCGCAACAACTCAGCGTAGGCTGAGCCGGCTCTATTTCCATAGAAAAAAAGATCCATCAGCCAGTGCTCGGCAATTTCTTCCTCGAAAACCTCTAGACGATCTTCAATCCTGAACGCATCTCCAGAATTTGACGGTACATCCGCACCCAGAGGAGCACAAACGATTCTGAATCTGTCACGAAGGCTGTAGATAGCATCCGCATGTTTATTCAGTGCTAGAGCTGCCTGCCATTCCAGACATATGTACAAATGGGTATCACTGTATGGGAGATCCTGTTGTCTTGACTGGGAATCTCTAGAGCGCGTGAGTTGCAGGCCGTGCACTGATCTCCCGTTGGTGTCTGTGAGTTCTAGCCTTCCTGTCGAAATGGAAAGTATGTGGACAGCTTCCAGCGCCAAAGTACCACCTAGTGGTAGTGGTTTGACAGAGCCCCGTCTCCAGCCTGAAGCTATAGTTAGTGCGTACCAAGTCGGAAGCATATTGAAGTTGTCTCGACGCCCCTGAAAGGCCTCGTCTAGTGTCCACCTGACGCTGGGTTCGTTGTAGTTGGGCAGTCTGGACCACTGTAGTCCCGACGATGGACGCTCCACAGATGTCGTGTCGAATTGGAGAGTCAATGGTGTCAATGAAGTGCACTCTCCGTTCATACTTATATGTGGTTGCGGCGTCCAGTCAGGAGTCCAAGAAGGAAGGAGTGTCATCTTGGGAAGCAAAGCCATTTCTAATACTGTGGATATTTGTTCCCTGTCACGGGTCGTACCTATAAGCCAGTACATTGCCAGACCAGTGTATAGCTGCTGCTTGCTAATACTGTAATCCACTGGTAATTTCCTTCGATCCTTCTCGGAAACTAGGCCCATTAGGCCGTATACACGATCGCGCAAATCACCGCATCGAAAATCTTTGGTGCCCTTGAGCCATGACAGTAGGTCCATCTCGCCGTCTTTGTAATCGAAGTGCTCAATCAGAGCCGAGACAGGCTTCTTCTGTTGGCTTGACAGGGAGTTCTGCACAAGATCGCGGAAGTCCTTCCAATGTGTTGTATGCTTGCCGACACTCATGGTGGCTGAATTAGCGAGCATGACTTCCTGGATGACCCAAATACGCGAGAAGTAGGGTAAACAAAGTATCGTGCTCACATCGGGGAAAGCACTCCCAGAAGGATGGTCGGATCTTCCGTGGTTATAGTGTGGCGATTCCGTGACATCTCCAAGGTCTTCGTTCCACTCTCCCAGATACGTCAGCACTCGGGCTGCAGACTTGTAAATATCTTTCATAAGCGAAACTTGACGATCTCGCTCCTAGTCGCACTACCGTGCAAGCGTAGGAGACGAACGGAGTCGGCGTTCGGAAGGCTTGTGTATACTTTTTGAAAAGTAGTGGCCAATTCAGATGAGCTGTGTGTTTGTTCTTGGCCCTTCTTATTTGACTCCAATGACACTCCGGACTGTGAGGTGGTATTGTTGCTAGTCCATGCATCGATGCTCGCACCCACAAAAGCTAGCGTTGCTGCATGGTCGTTATCAATATTGTGTTGAGTAGAGCTTTTCGCATCTGCCGGGGTGTCTACATAATCTCCGCCATCCGAATGTGCCTTGGGAAGCCGATCATGATCCAAGTCTCTCGCGACTTTTCGTGATTCTGCAAGAGTATCATCGGAGAAAAGTTGGGGCGGCCATGTGCACAGCAGTTGTGATCGTGGAACATCTGGCGGAGGTCCAGGCGGCGAGATTGGATGGATGGGCGATAAAGCGGGCGCTTTACGAAGACAGGTAAGACATCCCGGTCGTCCATCTTCCCACTCCAACTTCAGCGCTGCGCATGTCGCGTCGTGCCACGCCATGGACCCAGGTTGCGTGAGCTCCACCAGGTAGATAAGAGACGTGTTAGGAGTGATGGTGAAGAGGCCGTCGAGGAAGGCTGGAGGATGCAGTTACCCCGCCTCGGTTGTGGCCATTGGCCAGCCTTGCTGCATCTCACAGCCTCGTTGTGCATATGTGCGAATAGCTAGAGTCAGTTCTGATGATAAGCAAGTGGGTTTCGACATATTCGAAGGACGGCAGTTTTGGATACCATCCGGTTGTAGACCGACCTGGTACCGCTGAGGAGGTGAAATTACCTTTGAGACAAACTACTACTTCAGGCCACCACGAAACGCATCGAGCGCCTCTGGGATCACACATATAATGTCAACCATCTTGGGAGACCCAGCTCAAGTTACATGACAGATGCGACCAAAACGCTGGAGGACTTTCCAGACCCCAGGACCATCTCCTGCTCCGAGGCATCGAGAAGCCAGCTGCACATGACAGCTGAGCATCGTGACAAACTGAGGCATTGCACCCCGGTGTCTGACAGGCTTCTCGTGTAACAATGAAGTCCTGCACAAGGAGAGCTGCGGCTGAGGCCACCACTGTCGCACAAAGTTTGCATAGTCGGTACGAGTTGTGGGGTGGTGACATCTCAGCGGGGACGCGAGAAAAGATGGTAGCGAAGCAGCAGCAGTGCGTTGGGCGACAATGTGGAGAAGAACATGCGGACGATGAATGTCGGGGTACGCGATGTCGCTTTGTCATGTACCTCAGAGCTCAGATGCCGCGCCTGAAGATTTTCTCGTCGGCGATTCGTGCTATGTCGGGGCTGAATTCTTTTCCGCGTCAAGCTTCGTCGGGGTAGGCACTAGCGCAGGGCATGGCCAATCAGGGTTGTGGGCCGTCGGATCGAAACCATGGGGAGACCTCCGCGTGATTGACACCGAGCGACCCACGTGAACGAACCACCTCGGTAGCGACAGCCTTCTCGCCATCATCGCTACCACATTTTCCTCCCGCAGCGAAGGGACTGGATTTGGATCTCTCGCAGTCGCTGGGTCAGGCATCCTGACCGTGCATCGTGACCACATGCACTAATCAAGGGCGGCCCCGGTTGGACGTTTCCAGCGTCGGGACAGGAGCGGAGGCTGGGGTTGGTGGTGTTGGGCTAATGAGAGTGACTCGTGCCACACTGCGCGCTTAATTAGGAGCTCCGAAGGCCAGCAATGTCGCGTATTGGCCGTTAGGCGTCCATGGCCGACAAGCGTCAGCAGTTCACATTCATCTTGACCGCCGTTGCATTAGCGTTCAGCCACATGGTGTTGTCTGGGGAAAGAGGCCTGCAGTGGTGAAAAGCATAGCACAGGCCATGCCATTGGCGCATCGTCAGCGCATCATCGTGATGAAGGAAAGCAGGCGTAGAAGGCGGAGGGAGCCGAGTGTAGGGCGCCGCGCACCTGGTATTGGGGGCTAGCGCCGTTACCAGCCTGCTCCAGACACACGTTAGCCGACTCCATGGGCCACGAGAGACTCCATGGGCCACGATGGTGGAGTCTAGTGAAGTGGGAACCCTTGGTCGGGGAGCACCTCACGTGCGGCTCTGAAAACCTAGAAGCGTTCTAGACAGGTAAAAGCATCGTCTGTGCTTCACCTGCCAAGGTCAAATCACAGCCGGTGCAAATGCCGGTCCGACACTTGTCAAATTACCAGGTTAGTCGGGCCAGTCGGGCCTGGAGAAGAAGCTGGAGCAGGCAAAACGCGGGCGACCATTCCCCAGAGAGCTGGTGGCGCGCACCCTTCACTGGGTTCCAGGCTAATGCACCCAATAGCAGGGAAGCACGGGCCCCATCTAGTCGCGCCGCAATGTTACCTAGCCATTTCTGCGGTACACTTGTTCCGCACTGCACTAGATCTCAAATCTCCAGCTCTGTTTATTAACCCTCAACTCACCCGCATCTCGGATTCTGATTCTTCGTCCAAGGCCGCGTGCGAGTTCTACCCTGCACAGCTTCAAGCAACGCGCTTCGTCAACTCCCTCAGCGTACAACCCCCACGCACTTGCCCATCATGAGCCACAACAACGACTTGGCCGACGAGGCCGCCAACCCCAAGGGCATCCAAGCTACCACCGATGTCAACATGACTGAGTGCCCTGTCACTTGGAAGGCCTACCTTCTCTGCGCCTTCGCCTCCTTTGGTGGTATCTTCTTCGGTAAGACAACAACAGAGCACAATCTCCACAGCAACAGTGGCTGACTGCATACCCAGGTTACGATTCCGGATACATCAACGGTGTGCTCAACTCGCCTCTCTTCATCGAGGAGGTCGAGGGCCCCATCTGCCCCCAGGGTCTCAACACTCCCGATGGCCTCTGCAAGATCAGCTCTGGCAACACCTCGCTCATCGTCTCTATCCTCTCCGCTGGTACTTTCTTCGGTGCTCTCGTCGCTGGTGACCTTTCCGACATGATTGGTCGCAAGTGGACCATTGTTCTGGGATGTCTCATCTACATCATCGGTACGAACTTCCCCGCTTGCACTACTTTATGAAACAAGCCACTAACCCCCACTTAGGAGTTGTTCTGCAAATGGCTGCCTCTGGCCGTGACCTCCTTGTCGCTGGTCGTGCCATCGCCGGTATTGGTGTCGGTTTCGAGTCTGCCATTGTCATTCTCTACATGTCCGAGATCTGCCCCAAGAAGGTCCGTGGTGCGCTCGTCTCCGGTTACCAGTTCTGCATTACCATTGGTCTCCTGCTTGCCGCCTGTGTCAACTACGGCGTCCAGGGTCGTGGTGACACTGGCGAGTACCGCATCCCCATTGGTATCCAGTTCGCCTGGGGTCTTATCCTCGGTGGTGGTATTGCCTGCCTTCCCGACTCTCCCCGTTACTTCGTCAAGCGCGGCCGTCCCGATGAGGCCAAGAAGGCTCTGATGAAGATCCGTGGTGTCCACCCAACCGACCCCCAGGCTGCTGAGCTCAGGTCCATGGTCGAATTCGAGCTTGCTGAGATCATTGCCAACGAGGAGTACGAGCGCGAGCTTATCCCCGCCGGTGGCTGGATCTCTGGCTGGGCCAACTGCTTCAAGGGTTCTCTCTTCCAGTCCAACTCCAACCTCCGCAAGACTATCCTCGGTACCTCGCTCCAGATGATGCAACAGTGGACTGGTGTCAACTTCATCTTCTACTACTCCACTCCCTTCTTGGAGTCGACTGGCGCCATCAGCAACACCTTCTTGATCTCGCTCGTCTTCACCCTCGTCAACGTCTGCTCCACCCCTCTTTCCTTCTACGGAATGGAGAAGTTCGGTCGCCGCACACTCCTCCTCTTCGGTGCTCTCGGTATGTTGATCTGCCAGTTCTTGGTTGCCATCATCGGTGTCACCCAGGGATTCAACAACTCCACCACCCTCGCCGACGGCACCACCCGCGCCAACAACATCGCCGCTGTCAACGCCCAGATTGCCTTCATCGCCATCTTCATCTTCTTCTTCGCCACCACCTGGGGTCCTGGTGCCTGGGTCCTCATCGGTGAGGTTTTCCCTCTGCCCATCCGCTCGCGTGGTGTTGCCCTCTCCACCGCCTCCAACTGGCTCTGGAACACCATCATCGCCGTCATCACCCCCTACATGGTCGGTACCGACCAGGGTAACCTCAAGTCCTCCGTCTTCTTCATCTGGGGAGGTCTCTGCACCATCGCCTTCATCTACACCTACTTCTTGGTTCCCGAGACCAAGGGCCTGTCTCTCGAGCAGGTCGACCAGATGATGGCCGAGACCACTCCCAGGACCTCTGCCAAGTGGCGCCCAACCCACACCTTCGTCGAGAGCTCCCTCCAGAAGGGTGGCTCTACCATGATCGAGCGCAACGGTTCCATTGTCGTTGACACTGAGAAGAACCACCGCACTGCTTCCGTCCACTAGATGGTTAATAGTGCAGTGTTTTATTCACGTCTTGATGACACGAATGAGTCACTTTGAATGATGTAATGTTTGGTTCTAGCTATGCAGTACAGTATAGCATATTACTAAAGACACGGAATGGATAGATGCCTGGCTGGAGAATGATACCTCTGAAGTTTATACTATAGCATAAACTACTTCTTAATCTTGAACTACGGATGCGCTTCTTACATGTGATGTCTTATTTGATTCTTGACTTTGAAATGTCTTTCTCTCATGTCATGTATCCTGTGAAGTTCAATGTTGAAACGCCCTTATGTAATGCTTCCGACCCATCTTCTCATACGTCATCCAGCATCAATACTTGATCCATCTCCAATCACACATACCCACCCCCTCCCTCTGCCTCCTCAACCCCTCTCTCAACTTCCACTCCCTCTCCCTCTCCCCCTTCCCCATCCCCTTCCTCCCTCTCTTCACCCTCCCCTTCTCCACCCCCCTCATCCTCCCTTCAACCCTCCTAACCTCAAGCTCATCCGCCCAAGGCCCCGCTTTCACCTCCGCAACACTCCTCCCCACCCACCACTGCGGATCATGTATTCCCAGCCACCCACCTTGCTTCACCCAATCCGGTCGTGGGACGCCTAATTCATAGATTTCGAAGAAGGGTGATGAAGCTATGAGTGTGGCGTGGGTGCGGAGGAGGTTCAGGGCGAGGAGGCGGGTAGGCTTGCTGGTGGCGGTTGGGATGGTGAAGCGCGTTGTTTGCGCTGGGGTGGTGGTGGAGAGAGTGTAGGTGATTCCGGATTGTATGCGGTGGAGGAGGGGGTCTGTCTCTGAGTCGGTGGTTGTCTCGTCCAGCGAGGCGGATACTGAGGGTGTTGGGGAGGTAGAGGGTTCGCGGATAGCTGAGCGGGGAGTACTTCGCCTTGGTGACGAGGGCCGCGGCGAGGATGCTGGAGGTGATGTCAGCGTCTCGCTGCGCGATCGCTTGGCTGGTGGTGATGAGGCCGGCTCATTGTCTGCTCCACGCTTTGAGGATGTATATGTCATGATAGCAGTAGGGATGGTGGTAGTAGGTAAGTGGTTTGGGGAGGTAGGAGGGTGTTGTTCAGACTTGAAGACATCATTTGATATCTATTACCTAGGACATGCTATAGTGGAAGTGAATGAGAGTGCGTCTATAGATACAATAGCTCATGCATCAACAATAACAGCCTCTTTCACTACAGTATCCCAGATCCCCTTCACCTCGACTGCACATGTAGATAGAACCACACAAGGAATTGAACTGTCCTTTACTGGGTTGAACAGCCTCCATTACCAAGAAGAGACATCTCCTCCCGCATCCTTGCAGTCTGCGGATCATCCTGGATACTCTCCTCGCCGACCTGATTCGTTCCAAGTGCAGTCCACTTCATGACCAGCTCAATGCCTGGCATACCGGGAATGTTCACTCGCTCGCGAGCATCTTCGACCGCCTTCCTCAGTACTTCTGGCTTCACGGCCCCAAGTCGCAGTGTTCGTGGTCCTGGAAGCGAACGATTGGGGTGCGGGTTCTTGGCTAAGTACAGTCCGAATACGCCGATAATCTTGTCAGCGTAAGGAATCTCACCTTTAAAGCCCAGCTCGCGCATGACCCAGTGCTCTGACGCGACTTGAGGTCCCTTCCAGACTTGTAACTCCGGCATTGTATGCGGCCTCTTGGGGAGAGCGGTATGAAGAGAGACCACGCTTAACTTTTGCTCAGCCTTCGTTAGTTCTTTCCATGACTTCGCGATGTCGTAGCCGTCCTTGGTTCCTGGAAGAGACATGATCTTGTAGGACTTGGCGAAAGCTTTCGCTGCTTTGACAGGATGATCTTCGCCAAGCTCGGCGACACCCAAGAAGCGATAGAAGCGAGCGATAGCAGAAGCAGGGACTACCTCGTATCCCGAGATCTTATTGCAAAGCTCTGCCTCCTCTGCATTGCCAACCTTCTTTGTTTCACCCTTACACTCGTGTCGGAACTCGCCACGGAATTCGCCAGCGGCCATGTTCGAGAACATGAGCATTGATTTGTCGAGCGAGGCGACGCACTGTAACGCATAGATCGGTGACAGGAAGTTTGGTTCGAGACGTGCACCTATCATCTCGTTCGTCTCCAATGAATGCTTGATGAACATGAAGGTGCCAAGCCACCTCGCGAATGCCATGTCGCCGTTTCCGGTGTTGAACGCCATGTCACCCACGCATTTGATGGAAAGGGCGAGTTCGTAGAGTTCGACAGCGGCGGCTCGTAGCCATGCGACTCCCTGTGTCATGGTTTGCGTGACTTTCTCGACAAGGGCAGCATCGAACCCAGTGGTGAAGGTGACCTTCTGTCGGAAGGCTAATCCACTGACTGTAGGATAGAACGGGTAGAATTAGTAGATTACTCACATATGACTCGCAAAGGCGAAGCTTACCTTTTCCCATGGGTAGGGCAAACCTCTCCTGATCCTCCCTGCCCAGAGTGCTGACAGTACCAGGCGGCTTGTGCAGTGCGAACTTGAAGTCATAGCCCATAAAGTTGGCGAAGTCCAGGATACGCAGAGCGCGAGCAAGCTTTGGCATGTCTTGCAACAGCAGTACTCCCACTGTCGTCTTTCCGCCATACTTCCCGGTCGCCTTCCGCTGGTAGTTAGGATCGACCTTGACTTCGGCAACGTGGTTGTCAAACTTCTTCGTCCCTAACTTGAAGTAGGGTACTTCATGGTTGAGAAGGGCGTTTTCGATCGTCGTGCCATAGCCATTGTGAAGTTTGATCCACTTGTTGTCCCCATAGAAGACCTTGGCAGCTTCCTGATTGATGGCCTTACTAGTGCGAAGGACGGCGACCTGGAAGTCATAGTCTTCGATGAGATAGCGGTTCGGTGGGCCGCGAACGCGATCGGAAAGTAGCAGGTAGCGGAGGATGTCGCGACGGATGTGCTTCGGAAGCGCTTCCAGACGAGACATAATGGCGTACGCTGTCAGGTCACGGCGGCAGCTGGTCGCTAGGGGTGAGCGTGCAGTCGAGACTGTCGGCTGTCGGCTACCGCAGAGCTGTAAGTACACGGAACCCTTGTAATAGAGCGATGGCTGAGACAGGATCAAGCGGATTGATGAGTAGCGTCGAGATAAACGATGAGAGTGAAAGACATCAGCTCGACGGCCTCGACGAGCGTGATGAACAAACTTTCCGTTGGGCTACCGTGGGTGTGTATGGAGACGACCACTTCAGACGAACTTGGCGAACCACCGTTACCGAATATCTCCCCCCCAATGTACACAACCAAAGTACCATCGCGAAAAGACCCCTCGGGCTCGAGCGCGAAAGGCAGAGAAGACGGCAACTGCGAACAACAGCTGCAGGAGTCTTGCCGGGGCTTGGATCGATGTAGCTTAGCGCCTACGCTTAGCTCAGGTCCCCGCGCGTGCCCCCGGGATCGACTCTTCTGCCTTCATGCCTATCCTCCACGCTGTCCATCTCATCATGTCTAGCCATCTTTTATCATTACCGCGCGAACTTCGCGACATAATCCTCGAATATGTCATCAGTGCGCACGTCGAGCTTCCGAGACACCCTGCACCAGATGACACCCCTCGCAAGGCCTCAGTAGGCTCGAATTGCCTGCGCATACCCGTCTTGCCACCTGCCGAGCAATATGCTACTTACGGACTGCTCCTCACGAACAAACAACTGCACCACGAGACCAAAACCTGTCTCCGCCGCCTGCCGACGGCGTACTCTCTTGACCTCATGATGGTCAACGACAAAGAGCTCTGGCTCACATGGACCTGCTGTCCAGCTCGAAGCAAAGAGCCGATCGATTCCATTTCCATAAACGTGCGCGAAACCAGAGATAGTCCGGATCTCTATTTGAAGCGGCTTCACAACATTCTTTTCGAAAAAACTTGCTTTCTCAGTCTCTTCGAATACATGGTTGATGTCTGTTGCCCTGGTCACCAATTTAGGAAACTTGGTTTGAACCCTCCTTACACCAAATGTAACTGAGCGAGCCCCGCACATCAGTACTGTGCAGTTGAACTGGGTTGGGTGGAGGGCAAGATTTATACAGCAGGACATGCGTCCTGTGATGCGCCAAGAAGATGTCATGAACAACCAGAATCTAGCCCTGAGACTACTAACCTATCGAATGGCCTTCTTCTTACTTTCAGTAGAGATGACAGTGTCGGAATTGGACGGCGTGGGCTTCAAACTGTGGGCTGGAGGCTTTGACAAGAAAATCATTACTGTCAATGGGGACAGGAGGGCTGAACTAAGCAGGCGCTGGGAAGGGATTCATGCTCCGCACGTCCAGAAATCTACTGACGCACTTAATTACAACGACAATATCCTAGGAGTACATTCTCCGTCCACGTCCACAACCTTCTCGCCAGGTCTTCATCTCTAGCCTCCGCCGTCAGTTTCTCCGTCGAGTCAACCCCCCCAGGCGTGTAATATCCTCCACTCCGCAACGCTCCTTTCTCCGCTCCGGCCGCACACCAAAGCTGATTGGAAACGCCCTCATGTGGCTCAAGCCACTTCTCGCCCGACATCCGCGACGTTACATTGACAAATGTCTTACTCCAGCCGGCCATCTCGGTATTCATGGGCGTCTTGACAAGTCCAGGGTGGATGGCTACAGACGTCAGCTCAGGATGCCGACGCGCGAGCTCCGTCGCGAAGAGGATGTTTGCAAGTTTGGATTGGCCATAACGAATCCATGCGCCTAGCATCATTCGAGACATCGTGCTTCCAGCATCAAGCTCATCGAAGGAGATACCACCTTTGATGGCGCGATGGAACTCGTAACCGGCGGACGTGTTGCTGACGACACGGACGTCTGCACCGGGCTCTTTGGCTGTCTTGAGCAAGATGGGCATCAGCTCTCTGGTGAGCATCGCATGGCCGAGGTGGTTCGTCGCGAATTGGATCTCGAAACCATCGGTACTCAAAACTGCTGGTTTGGCAATGATACCGGCGTTGTTCATCAGTATGTCGAGGCGATCATGTTTGAACTCTTGAGCGATGGCCTCTTTGACTGCGCGAAGGGACGAGAGATCCATCTTGATGAAGCTTAAAGATGTCGTCGGGTGCTTGGCTTTGATATCGGCGATCAGTGCATTCGCTGCAGTGACATTGCGGCCTGTGAAGTAGATGTGTAATGGACTGTGCGCCGCCAGTGCTCGCACACTTTCCTCTCCCAATCCTGCGGTGCCTAATATGACTGTCAGAAGAATGTCAACGACGGGAAACAAGTTCAATCACCTCCAGTCACCAAGATCACTTTTCCGGAAAGGTCTCCAATGTTCTTCGCAGGGTCGAAGTCTTTGAAGCCTTGCATGTTGAGGCTTTGGCTTTAGTCGCGAGGTGCGTTGATATGGACATCTCAGTTTCTGCAGTTGCACAGTGGCTCTTATATACATGGTGCACCATTGCCATTTTTCAATTCGGACGAAAAGGCAGGCTTCTTGTGGCGCTTCTTCAAGGTGGTGGTGGTGGTGCGATATCTCCGCCGGGAAGATGTGTGGCCGCAACGTGCAAAACACCGGGATGATCGACGAGAGTGCAAAAACGCTATACCACATTCGGCCATGAGACAGGATTATGGCTGCAGACACAAATTCCGAAGACGAACAAAGTCCCTCAATATGAGTCACGTCACGTTCGCTAGACATCAAAATCAAAAGTAAGGTAGAGAATGCATTACATGGGCTGTCAGGGTGTCACCCAGTCGCGCTTGCTCATAGATCGGCCACGCTAGTATGTTCCCCGTGCAGCTACGCGTCCCGTCCCGTCGCATTCGTCGCACGCCAACCTAGGAAAAAACTAAACAGCGTAGAGCCTACGTTAACGTTAGGTTACCTACTTTGCAAGGTTTTAGGTTAATGTAGTGTACAGACCTGTTTAGTTTTTTTCTTGTATAAGGTAGTCGCGTTCCTTCCCAATCCGCTTCCGTCTCTCGCCACCTACTCCGAGCTCGTCAGACACTCTAGCGCATGCGATAGGTCGATCACATCCGTAGACGCGTAGGCCAGTACAGGCTGTCGCGATAAGCGCTACCCAACCCGTTAGCCGTAGTATCGGCCTCACAGAGGCCGCACCGCGTCGCATTCTAGTAACGCAACATTACTCAGACTGTATCCGACCTTGCCGATAGTAGGATAGTAGGATAGTAGGATAGTAGGATAGCTTTGTAAGGGGTATCGCGTCGATTCGTTATCTTACACTGCCTAAGGAAAGCTTAGGTAGGATTTTCACGTTGGTCCAAGTCCTGCTTCCGTTGCCTGGTGCGGATACGATCAAAAGCCGAGAGAAATGCGCGGTCGCTTTACTACATGTCTAGACCTTGTTGTCTGGGCTTTGGTCATGCGTCCCCTCATCCCATGCGAATTCTTTCGTCATGGTAATTCCTCTTTCTCTCCTCATACTCTGTGAGAGCTCGCTCGTAGTAACACTGCCTTCTTTGCACAGGGCAGTACCCGGGCACTCCCCATGCACAGTCGTTGTCGTGAGACACATTTCGTCTTCATCCAATCGCGATTTGCCCCATTGGCTCCGAGTGTCATTGTTAATCGTGTCTCCCAATGTATCCTTGAGGTTGATCTTGCGCGTGCGCTTCTTGGATATCGTTTCGAGAGGGTTCAGTGAGGGGCCGGATGAATCGGAGTGCTGCGATGACTTGAAGGAGGATGGCAGGCTGGTCGAGAGTGCGTTGATCACCTGCATCATGAGCGGTCGCAGCGTGGGTAGGCATCCGGAGATGATACCGATGGAGGGCTCTACGGAGGACCAGATGAAGACGTCGCTCTTTGCCCAACTGATGTCTTTCGACTGGACGAGGTGGGTAATGGTGATGATGCGGTAGAGCGAAGCGAAGCAGACGCTGTACTTATTAGCGAGACTTCATCGAAGGGACAAACGTTGAGCTGCGACGTACAAGCTACCGAGTAGGAACGTGAGACAGACTGCCACCTTCTGGGTACGTCCCATGTGGAGCTTAAGCACGCTCGCTATGGGTATCGTAAGGATGCACACATCGCCGAAAAGGTTGATGATGCCAACACCGAGATAGAACTACATTTTAGTCAGTCGCTGTTTGCAGATCAGTCTTGTGGTAGTCTCACCTTTGCCTCGTCTACCTGGACCACGCCTTTATCTCCGTACCACTGGTTCCAGTAGTAGTGCAGTGGTCGCGTGTAGAGCGGTAGGACGATGTGGTTGGTGATGAGATAACCTGTAGTGAGAGCGATGCAGAAATAGCCAAAGTATGAGAGGCCGAATATGCGACGGTATAGGGCCAAAATTGAGAACTTGATGATGCATACACTCCATGCGTAGATGAAGACATAGGCGAATGTGATCTTGCTCTAGTCAGCCCTGCGTTACGCGTGTGGTCGGGGACTTCACAACGTACTATCGTGATTTGTCGCATCTCATACGGCCCTAACGACCATATGTGCTTACCAAGACCATAGAAGCCGCCTAGTCTAGATGTTAGCATCTATCATTGATCTCGCGTGATTGATTGCTCTACCTGCAATGCAGCATGCCAGGTTGCCCGCATTCAGCGCCAAACCGAGAAACATAAGATAGTCATCTAGACCTAGCGGCTCACGCTTTACATGCAAGCGAGTGTAGAGGCGCAAGCCCACGAAAACGAGAGAAAGGACGAAAAGTACAACGCCGATAGCATTATTGGAGGCAGTGCGGGACTCGGTCAAGTCTAGTCCGGGAGGAGGGTTTGCAAAGTAATCGAACGCCATGTCGAAAGCCGGTTGTCGTCGGGATCACGCAGGATGAGTTGCGAAGTGTCAGAGAATCGCACAACGGGATTTCACGCAGAGGATCAAGCTGTATTATCGCCGTGCAGGCGTTTGGGTTTTGCACCCCCCATTCACTCGGCGGATTTCTGTGTCACGAAATGCATTTATTGCAGTGAACCCATAAGGCCGTGCAACCCTATATCCACTCGGATTAGTTTCCATCGTAATCGCGCCGATTGTGCAACGAGTGAATGCCAGTGTTTTCGGGGGGAAGTGCCGGTTTCGGTGAGGAATGGAGTCGACGCTAGCCGCCTATGTATAGGCTCACATGGCTGCGAGAACGCGTGGTGTGACCAGCCGGGTACCTGATGCGCACTAGCCTGTGACAAACACGATCTTCGCGTGGAGTTGCATTGTTTTGCGAGGCGGGAGTGGCTGGCAGTTGAGCAATCGGACCTTTACACGACACGGGAGATAACGACGTGCCGCAGCGGTTGCCGTACGGTGACCGTGCCGGAGGCGGCGATCTTGGCGGGCAGCAAGCAACCTTAACAAAGAAATCTGGGTCCACGACAGTTATCTTCTCCGCAGTTTCAACAGCCTGTCAGTCTTGACTCAGTCCATCGATTAGGAACACCCATTGTCGTACTGCAACACGATGGCGCCCAAAGAAACCAAGTTCAAGGTGGCTGCCGCACACGCGGCGCCTGTCTTCATGGACAAAGCCGCCACCATCAAGAAGACAATCCGCCTTATCGAACAGGCTGCAAAGGACGACATCAAGCTCTTAGTGTTCCCTGAGACCTTCATTCCTGGCTATCCTGTACGTGCATCGGCTGTCAATCTCAAACTTTGTACGATGGGGCTCATGCTAACATTACCATAGTACTGGATTGAATGTTACCCACCCCTAAAGCAGGTCGCTGCTTTGGCAAAATACGCCGAAGAGAGCGTCGTGGTGGAGCCGAACGGAGAGGATGTGAGTGCCATCCAGGATGCCTGTCGCAGGACCGGTGTAGCCATCAACCTGGGCGTCTGCGAACGTGTCGCCAACGGCTATACGCTGTTTAACACCCAAGTCATTATCGATAGTGACGGCACTATACTCGGTGTTCATCGGAAGCTCCAGCCAACCTATGTCGAGCGCATGGTGTGGGCTCAGGGCAACGGCAGCACATTGCGCAACTGGCCATTGTCGCTCGGGTACAACCTCGGAGGTCTCGCGTGTTGGGAGCATACCATGAACGGCGCACGCCAGGCCCTTATTACACAGAACCAGCACATTCATGCGGGAGCTTGGCCGGCATTATCCACCATGGCCGGCTTCGAAGCCGTTGCCGATGCGCAGATCGAGGCGTTGATGAAGGCCCATGCCCTGACTGCCCAAGTCTTCGTCATCACTGCTTCCAACTACGTCGACCAACAGTGCCTCGACTGGATGGAAGAGAACCTCGGAAAGCAGGATCTCGTCAAGGCTGGCGGCGGCTGGTCTTCTGTCCTCCATCCGTTCTGCTCGTACATCGCTGGTCCGCACACGGGCGGGGAGGAGAAGTTGGTGCAGGGCGAGATTGACTTCTCGCACATGGGGTCGGTAAAGGTATGGATCGATGCGGCAGGCCACTACCAGCGTCCCGAGATTCTGCAGTTCGCGTTCGATGCGCGCCCGCACTGGGCTGATGAAAAGACCGATCGCTTCAAGGTGCGTACTGATGACAAGAAGTCGGACACTGAGAGTGGTTACTCGTCTCAGAGTGAGGTGAGGTCAAACTAGAAGGATGTGGTCTTGGCAACTGTGCCGCATCGACAGGCAGTCACAATATGAAGTGGCGTGGCATATGTGACATGTTACTGGCTGAACCTCGTGGAGGCTTAGCGACTCAGCCATCTTGTGCAGCCTCATTCAGGCGGGGTCAGATGAAATCTCTCAAGAAGTCTCAACACTTTCATTATACCATTATCATCTCATTCTCCCAAAGTTTTGTTGTTATATTGCCATGCCGGTCACATTCGGTGCCGTAGGCGACATCATCTCCGTCGTTTTGCTTGTGAAAGATCTAGTCGCAGCGCTCGACGAGGCTCGCGGCTCCAAAGCAGAGTACCAGGCCGCCGTACGCGAGCTTTGGACTCTCGACCGTACACTCCTCGAAATTGATCTGCTCACTAGACAGCATGGGGATGGAGCTACGCCTGAGTTACGGAGTCTCTGCGAAACAGCCAAGCAAGCCGTAGCTAGATGCAATGACCGCGTTAGCGCCTACAAGAAGCGCATTCAGGGATATCAGCGCGCTTTTGAAGTCGGCAAAGTGAACAGGGTTAGAGAGATTGGAAGAGCGATTGGTTGGAGGACTGGAGAGAAAGAAGCGCTGGAGCAGTTTCGCGCAGAGATCGCGGGGACGACATCAAGTCTGCAGATGTTGTTGATCACGGCCAATGTGTAAGTATCATATTCATGCTGGTCGGAGCTGATGCTGATGTTGTATAGCACGTTACTTGGGGTGAGTCGAAAAGAGATGAATGACAAACTCGACGAAGCAAAGCGCAGGAACGACACGGCGACGCTCTTACATGATGCATCACTCGTAGACATCAAAGACGGCATTGGGAATGCTAACCGCAATATCGAAGCTGCCAACTCGATATTGGGGAATGTGTCCGAAGCACTCAAGTTAGATTGGCTCCGAAAGCTTGGTTCTGAGCTCAAAGGCATGATTCGAGGCGCGATGACGATCAACTTCGCAACTTACCGTGCTGTTATGCGTCTGCAGACTTCACTTCCCAGCTACCTAGAGCGAAGCATGTTTGAGGAGCCAATAATACTGGACGACCCCATGGGTCGTATTGCGCCTGTCCATTTGCAATTCATCACCTCTTGGGATGCCTTCCACTCTGTTCTTGAGCTGCGTTTCCAGGACATGCCAGGTCACATCAAGATTGGACGAAGGCAATACGCCTTACAAGCCCGAGGCACGGGAAGAGAGATAGAGTTGTCGCGTCCATGGCACGCTGCGTTCATACCAGGTCAGCGAATCGACATGAGCTTCATCTTCAGTCAGGATGATGCTAGCGAGAGCAGTAGCACTACTTGTCCAGGATGCCGGACCCCATCATCATATACTACTGATGCCGATATACACTGCACAGAATGTCAGATGTTCTTTCGGAGAATTACCGTAATTCAGGACGACGAATATCAGCTACAAGAAGATCAGCATACACGAGAGTCCAAACTGCGACTAGGAGCTACGGCTACCGGTAGTCGAAAACGAGATATACATGAGCTCAGTGAGCGCGAGGAAGAGGACGTGAGAAGCTTCAAACGAGTGCGACTCGTTTCCAAAAGAAAGCGAACTGATAAACTTGAACTCTTTCCGCCTGGAATGGTTGAAGTAGAGGCACGCAAACGGCAGAGAAATCAAAGGTTGGATGATGTCATGGATTCATTTGGTTCAATGAATGGGCGATTCACGCACCTTCGAGCGCAAGTCGATCGATTACACGCCCAGCTCAACAAAGAAACAGTCGAGCAAGAACTGAAAGGCGGCGAGGAATTCAGTCTCGAACGTCATGGAAAGCTCATGGCTTCTCTCAATTCACGTAAATATAGGAAGGAGAGGGTTAGAAGGACGAGTCAATCAGACATTGGCCCAACAAAATTTGCCCAAGAGGGCGGGGCGGACAAAGGGAGCCTTCGATGGGTTACCGCCACCAGACCCAGCGATTTCAAATCAAAGGCTAACATGCGAGCCGTAAGCCAAGCTGCGATGAACAGCTATCTAAAGGCAACAAAATGATTGGCTAGAAACATAGTCAGGGCCACTGGCGAAGCCACGGATGATTCGCAATAAATGGCCCCAAAACGATCAGATCATCGACCCTGGGAGCCACAACCAGAATCAGTCAAGGACGCGCTACGATCTGACTAAGAATATGGTTCGCATCTCCAAAGATGAGGACGAAAGCTTGTATAATTACCAAGGTTGACTCCTGACTATAGCATGTCTACTACAGGGGGATCGTACATCAGATCGCCGGCTGAAAGACGCTACCAATAGCACTCATCCCTACATACACCACTTCTTCACCTGCACAGCCTTACACCCGTCCTTCCCAAGATACCAATCATCACAAAGCGTGTTACACTCCACCCCAGGCTTCACAAACACCCTACCCTCCTGGCTCGGGTCCCCGTTCGGCGTACCATACCAAGGTAAACGCCATTGGACTTCGAAGTCGTTGGCCTCGTAGCCTGTCGCACCTGTTGGGCCATGTTAGCAGGTGTTATCCATGGAGGTGTGGCGGATAGCGGCTGGAAAGTTGGTGATGGGGGTTGAGAAGAGACGTACGATACCCATGGCGGCAGGCGCAATAGTTTGGACCGGGCGTGTGAGGGTTATCATGGCCCCAGACGTAGGTGCAGGAAGTGGTGATGTCGCATTTGTTCTTGTCGGGGCCGGGGACGCATGTGTCGCAGGGGGGTTCGTAGGGTGGAGAGAGAGCGGCGGCGAGAGTGAGGAGAGAAGAGACTACGGCGATGGTGAAGGTCTTCATGGTGAGGTGTCGCAAGGGGTTGACGCAACTCTGATAGGTGATTAGACGATTGAAGTGGGTGTTGGTTTGCTGTATCGCTCCTTCTCTGTGCGGATGGAAGATAATGGAGGAAACAGAAGGTTGATCTTATACTCGAGATGCTCCATAGCAGCTGTATGAGGTCAACTTCAGTGTCGTTTCCCATTCACGCCACCGCATCACATCCAAGACATGCATTTCGTATTAGCGTTGGAGCAGCGACGCCGCATCGATACTCATGATCAGATCAGTACGAAACCACCTCAGCCAACATGATATCCACACGTAAACCTGAGCCACTATAGTCGTACTGGACTCCTTGATCTCGTACTGCAAGACGTGCGTAGATGCCAAGCAAACAGTCCATGCACGCGAATGGAAGCAGCGACTCCAGGGCGTTCGCCGCATCATCTAGCGCTACCATAGATCAACTGCTAGAACGATGTCATAGGTTAAACATAGCAGAGATGGCTGAACTGAACATCTGATGATATGTCTGGCGCGGTCAGGAGACCTCGTGTTGCTTCCCCGCATTCCTCAGCTTGCTGATGAAGCGGAGAACACGAGGATTAGCGGCTCAGGGGGGCATATGAGAACATTGTTCGCCAATTGCGAAGTGTGAATGCGATGAGAATAAGTGTTGCTAATTGTCTAACCGGGATATACCAGTGTTATGCGACTCCGAAACGCCATGCCATGATGCGTGTGCAGTTGCTCTTCATTGTCTCATCTCTTCCCCTTCTTGAGCACCAGCCCCTTCCAGCCCTTACTGTCCTTGATCCGCCTGAGCGCTTTGCTCGCAACGGGATCCTTGGCCAAGTCATCCAAGCAAGCCTTCTTTTCCTCTTCGCTCTCGTGCTCGTGGAACTCGCACCATTCCTTCTCCATCTTTGGCCTCTCCCCCCTCGCCAACATTGTTACCAGCTCGAACAGGAATGCTTGCGGAAGCTGGCTGCGTAGAGCTATCGTGCGCTCGTCGTCGCGGTCGGGGTTCCAGTACACGGAGTACATGTCGAGGAAGTATCGGCACAGCGGTGCGTCTGGTGGTAGGCTCTCGTAGGCGGCGATGACGTTGCTGTGGTCGGGCATGACTTGCAGGATCTCGTCATTTGTTTGCCATGCTAGGATGACGGCGCGACGTAGTTTGGGGATGGCGTAGCGGTGTGCGAAAACGTAGAGCGATATGAATCGGCGTTCCAAGAAGCCTTCCAGCCCTCTCCACTTGTATGGTCTTGAGCAGCATGGGCACAGTGTCTCTTTGGGTATCTCTGGCTTCTCAGCGGGGTTGCGAGGAGGTGGCACTACAGCAGCCTTTTCGGGCTCGGCATCGCCAGGAACTTTCTCCGCGCTCGGTGCAGGGCTGCTTGCTGCAGCAGCGTTGGCCGGCGTGGCGTCCGCTTCCGTATCGTCGGTCTCCAAAGCAATGCCCCAAGACGCAGTATCCACATCATCGCCCTCCTCCTGACCGGCGGTGCTCGAGCTGTCGCCGCCATTGACACTGACTGCATGAGTTGGAGGGTGGACCTCCTTCCCTCCCTCGATGAGATGGTGTGGTATGAAGCCTGTGTATAACCATAGCATGAACGCGTCGAACACGTCAGGGGTTGTGTCATCGAGGTCTAGCGTAGTCCCCGACTTCTCGTAGGGCGAATTGCTCTTCTCTTCCAAGCATGTGTTGAAGTATGGGGAGCATCGACGGAGGAGTTCGCGATGGCAGCTGAAAGACTCGGCGTAGTCTTTTCCACCGACTTTGACTGTGATGATCGTCTGATCAAAGTTTCTGCCTCTGGTTAGCGTTCAGCTTGATGAATCTGAATGTAATGACGGTACTCACCGGAAAGTATGACCGAGCGTAGTAGCACCTTTTGAGTGCATGAAAGGCATTTTGAGTAGATAGTCAGGTTCCATTCATTGTCGCCTTACTGAGGACTTCATCGCCATTATATCTCTACTTTTCCAGCCCGGGTAATACGGGGAGCTCAGTTTCAGCAATCGTGACAGATGCATCTTGGCGTTCGACCTTCCGGCGGTTGAATGCTTGTACGAGCTTCTGTGCCCTGTTCGAAGAGGCTTCAGCGGGGTGACAATGAGCTTAATTGAAACCGACAGGCCCTAGGGAACGAGTGACGGCTGGGCTCAGCTGGGCGATCTTAGAACGAGGTAGGGGTTTTGTCGAGTCGTGAGGAAGAGGAAGAGTTTGATAGC